TCATGAATTAATATATTTTCTCTAATTTTTTTTTATGAAATGATAAAGCTACCCATTTCATTATGTATGAGGTCAATTTTTTTTATTGGAGTTAAAATTAACGTAGATATATGACCGAACCTAACCAACCTTACCTAACCTAACCTAACCTATCTTTATAGGTTAGGTTGGGTTAGGTAGCCGAAAAAGTTAGGTTAGGTTAGGTAGGTTAGGTAGTCGAAAAACAAATAATTCATGAAAACTTGGCTTATTAGGCAAATTGGGCCTTGCATAGTAGGCTGAGAAATGCGTTCTGGCTACTAGGTACGACATATATATATATATATATATATATATATATATATATATATATATATATATATATATATATATATATATATATATATATATATATATATGTCGTACCTAGTAGCCAGAACTCACTTCTCAGCCTACTATGCAAGGCCCGATTTGCCTAATAAGCCAAGTTTTCATGAATTAATGTTTTTTCGTCTACCTAACCTACCTAACCTAACCTAACCTAGCTTTTTTTGGCTTCCTAACCTAACCTTACCTATATATATAGGTTAGGTTAGGTTAGGTAGGGTTGGTTAGGTTCGGTCATATATCTACGTTAATTTTAACTCCAATAAAAAAAAATTGACCTCATACATAGTGAAAAGGGTAGCTTTATCATTTCATAAGAAAAAAATTATAGTAAATATATTAATTCAGGAAAACTTGGCTTATTAGGCAAATCGGGCCTTGAATAGTAGCCTGAGAAGTGAGTTCTGGCTACTAGGTACGACATATATATATATATATATATATACAGGCTTCCTGTCCCTGACAATGAGAGTTAATGTACATTCATCACATAATTAAACTCAACCAGAATTAGTTCTAATGCTAAAAGAAATTTGATTAATATGGAATAATATAACTTTCACCTAACTCAAATGGTAAATGAAATGTTTTACTTGTATGGAACACAGAAGTTTAACTATAGTGGGACCTTCATTTATGATCCTAATCCGTTCCCAGAGACGCATCATACACCAAAATGAATTTTCCCACAAGATATAATGTAAATTGAATTAATCCGTTCCAGACCCCAAAAATATTAACACTTTAGCGTACCCAGCGCGCCACCCTTCAACTATGCGATATGGGTCCCTTGCTGTGTGCCCCAGCCTTGGTTGCTCACTCAGTACTGAGGCTCTCACACCCGGGAATGTGGCACACGATTTTTTTTAAAGATGGCGTCTGTTTACAAGAGCCCTGAGGAAGCTGAAGTGAACTCCATGTAGCTGTGGGAGTTTTGAATGGAACGTGAAAAATACAAATACCCGGAGGCGTGATGCGCAAACCAGATGAGGGCCTGCAGGTGTGCTGTGCAGTTTAAGGGTTAATCTGATTTTTACAAGAAAAATCATTAACAAATAACTTGCCTAAAGATAGTTTATATTGCTGATCCAAGAGAAGATGTGCAGACTGGCGAAATGCCGCAGCAAGACCACACACCCGTTGGAGCACAGCATCATCCATGGCTCGTGTCTCCACTCACATGATGTCAACCTGCAAGATGAATACAAGAATACATTACACTAATTATTCAGGGGCCATCTGACCTACGGATCATCACCACCCCTAAATCAACAATAGTATTACTTACTGCTATTTTTATATCGCATTACACTACATCTTTTCCTCCAAGAAATTTAATATCAACAATGTTACAAGCAATACATGTTGCACATAAAGTGCTTACAGGTATGGATGAATTAACATTGACATATGTTACTTCTGTGTATCCACTAGCATAGTACTACTGCACATGGCATCAAGGTGTACCCACTAGAACAGTGCTACTGCACATGGCATCAAGGTGTACCCCACTAGCACAGTACTATTGCACATGACCTCAGGGTGTACCCACTAGCACAGTACTACTGCACATGGCATCAAGGTGTACTCACTAGCACAGTACTACTGCACATGGCCTCAAGGTGTACCCACTAGCACAGTACTACTGCACATGGCATCAAGGTGTACTCACTAGCACAGTACTACTGCACATGGCCTCAAGGTGTACCCACTAGCACAGTACTACTGCACATGGCCTCAATTTGGACTAACCAGCACAGTACTATATAACATCAAGCTCTGTATGTACCCAGCTACCAGAGACAAGCCTGTGAGAAGGAACACATGTGGAATGATCAGTAATGGTTATTTTAGATTGATTATATAAATCATTTTATTGTGCAATTTATAGTTTTATTTTATGCAGTATTTGTAAGCAACTATCAACCAAAAATACATGCATATTAAATATCACAAAACAATTAAAAACCAAACAACTATAAAACAATGTTACTCCTAAAGTAAACAAATTCAGCATCAGTTTGCATTCATGTCTTGGAAATACAATACAAAATAGCTTAGCCTACTAATTCAGCCTGTCCTCTTGAGTTGCCACAATGGATAAAATATTGGTTACTAGAATGTTCGAATTCCCAGCTACCAAAACCTAACCGACCCACATATTGAAACTGTGGTCTTTGCGAGCTGCTACTTTTCATAGTTTCCCTTATTCTATTCTTTGGGGATTGTGGCATCATAATACAGTACAGTGTATTATTTGAGAGGACAGATTTACTGATTTGGGAAAGTAGCTCTAGTGTTTTATTTTATATGGCCAAATATCTAGTCTCAAAACTTTCAAATACTTTGTCTAATTACTTGTTTTGTATGTGCCCAACCACTTGACAGTATAGCATGGTCACACTTGCAGGTTGGCATTCAATCCCTGACCGTCTAAGTGGTTGGGGGGATCATTCCTTCCCTGTCCCATCCCAAATCCTCATCCCTTTCAACTGCTAGTCGTAATGGCTTGGCACTTTCTTGTGATAGTTACCCAAGTTCTGTATATACCCTAGTTTTTGTATATATACAAAATAATGTTCTCATCCTGTAATGAAATTTCATCTGTACAAATACATGATTCACAAACACAATACAGTAATTAATATGTATTTATCCTAGCAAAATTCTTTAAAAAATGAGTGATAGAGAATATTTGAAAAACCTCTTGGTGTGTGCCATACCTTCAGACAACATGATTATGTGTCCCATAACTAAGGACAGAGTGCCTCTTAGGCTCAACGAGCTCCCTCTAACCAACCGCTGTTCACAGCCCAGGATGCAATCCACAACAATTGACTAAATCTCAGGTAAGTACTTACAGCTAGGTAAACATAGGCATTGGGAACCTTGTTTAAACATTTTGCCCTGCTCAGAAATTAGACCTAGAACTAATCGGCTGTGAGCCAACTGCACTAACTGCTGCATAATAGATTATGTTCTGTATATTTATTTCATTATGTATTGCACCTACTAGCCAATATAGCTACTGACCACAACTTTCTGTAGAAAAACTTCAACGCTAGTGCAAGAGTTATGAAAATTTGACTGTCAAAAAAAAAAGAAAATTTCTTAACCTTTCCAGTATTTTGCCTGACTTTACCAGAGGGTCAGAATCTCTCTTATGGCTTGAGCTACAGTATCTCCAAGACGTGTTAGCAACATACTCAAAAAAAAACTCCAATCAAAGAAATTTATTCAGAAGCAGAGAGTAATCACACTGAAAAGGTCACAAAATACACTTCTTACAAAAACAATCACCTCGAAGTGCAATTTCAGAGGTGTGCGACACAGCCAAGGTCTAGAGGGTAGTCCTGCTGACACAGAGGAGAAGAGACTGAAGTTAACATAGACGTCCCAACCACAATACTGACTCCTCCTACTGCGTTTGTTTGGTCTGTGTCACCCACCCCGCCTCCGGCTGCTGGCTACAACCTCGGCTAAGATACAAAGCGTTACTTACATTAAATCTACACTTTAATACTCTTTCGTTTTATCCTTCTTCTGTTTTAATAATTACACTTGAAAATTTATATATCAAATTATTACTTTTGAAATATTTAAAGATTTTTATGGTTCTAAGTTAAAGTCATAAATCACTGCTGAACACCAGGTCAGCTGATTGGCCTCTTGTGTTTTTCTGTTTAAACTTGTAAATTTTATCATATAAATATATCAACTAAAGTCTTATAATCATTATGCCAACAGCTGAGATAGGTATATTAGGCACAATAATTGAATTATAGCAAAATCCTGATCTTTTGTCAATTTTTGTGATTTAATTATACCAGTTTGAGTATTAAAATGAAGTTGGCGTAGCAACACATACAAGCCTGTTGCTAAGTCAACCTTGTGAGGGGACCGTACTCCATGAAACCGGTTACACCATTTACATATTACTGAACCAAACAAGATTAACCCAGTTAAAGTATACGTACTCATATAATAAAAACGTACTCGTATAATAATAATAATAATAATAATAATAATAATAATAATAATAATAATAATAATAATAATAATAATAATAATAATAATAATAATAATAATAATAATAATAATAATATAAACTATATGGTAATACTGTATGGTAATTGTATGCAAATATTGACAGTTTTTAGTTTAGTTCATTTATTATGCACCCCATACCCATCTTGTGGGCGGTAGTGGAAAGGGTTACAGAGGCACATCATGGTCGACCACAAGTACATGGATAGGTTACAATCACTTAGTTACAACCTACAGTTAGCAAACTGGGGATATTTGGCTAAAATTTCTGGTAGCAGATCATTTTGAATGAAATATTTACACATCGTTGGAACATTGGTTATAGAATTGTCTCTAAATTCACGTATCTTTTCGCACTCCATCACATAGTGACGGAGGGTGTGCGAATAATTTTGTTCACAGTTTACATTTGGTCGATAGTAATATGGTAATTTTATGCATATATTTATAATTGCCATCCCGATTAGCCTGGCATACAGTCAAGCTGGAAAGCTTATCATACTTTTAGGCTAGCAAGTTTGGCATACAGTCAAGCTAGAAAGCTTGGCATACAGTCAAGCTAGCAAGCTTGGCATACAGTCAAGCTAGCAAGCTTGGCATACAGTCAAGCTAGCAAGCTTGGCATAGTCATACATACATTTTTGGCTTACAGTCAAACTAGAAAGCTTGGCATACTGTTAGGCTAGCAAGCTTGGCATACAGTCAAGCTAGCAAGCTTGGCAAACAGCCAAGGGGACCAGGGCAAACAGCCAAGCAAGAAAGCTTGACATACTGTTACGCTAGCAAGTTTGGCATACAGTCAAACTAGCAAGCTTGACATGCAGTCAAGCTAGAAAGCTTGGCATACTGTTAGGTTATCTGGTAAGACATACAGCCAGAGCATCAGGTCATATACCAGCAGAGAAAATTGGTCCAAATGGACTTCTTTTCGATGTTGACTGCGACGTCATTTGAAGGGTCAAATCGAAATCGAGTATTAAAGTTCATTTGATCGGCATTGTGCAGCGACGAAATTACGTTGTATTTCGACTTCAAATAAACTTTAAAATATTTTCCTTACCGTGAAGGGAAGGGAGGGAATTATCAGGGGAAAGCCCCAAGCTAATACGCCTATATAGCACTTGAAAGGGGTCAAGATAAGGATGTGGGATGGGACGGGGGAAAGGAATGATGCCCAACCACTTGGACGGTCGAGGATTGAACGCCGATCTGCATGAAGCGAGACCGTCGCTCTACCGTCCAGCCCAAGTGATTTGGTAAAGAAGACGTTTTGTGTTTCAGCGTGGAACTCCGGACTGTAAGGCCGCGGAGGACGCTCACACAAAAAAAGGAACGTCACAAGTTACGTTGGGGTCGACTTGAGGACCGTCGGGACCCCCAGCGGGTGACCATAAAAATCGATGGTTCGATCTAGATCTAGAACAGGGTTCGACCTACACATCGTTGATCTACACATCGTTGATCTACACATCGTCTACAACTTAGCTGGTTATAAAGCCATTCACAACTGTAGGCCTAATAAAAAAAGGTGGCGGCACAGCTATATATTACCGAGATACATTTATCTGCAACAGTGTCATTAGTGATTGAGATGACTACTGTGAATATACTTTTGCTCAGTTCTCAATTAAATCCCTTAAATCCTCTTTGACTATTGGAGCCATCTATAGATTTCCCAATACTAACATAGCTTCATTCTCAGATAACTTAAGGAATCTTATTATAAACAACAATCTCAACAAAAACCACATCATTCTGGGAGTATCAATATTGACCTGGGCCAACAAAATTGCCCTCAAGTTGACTATTTCCTTAACAGCATGAACTCCTGTATGCTAATCCCCACAATCACCAAACCTACCCGAGTCACTCAAACATCAGCCACTACCTTGGATCACATATGGACAAACATAACAGCTCCCCTTGTATCTGGTATAATCTACGACAGAACAACTGACCACTATCCTACCTTTATTATAGTGAACATGGACATAACACCACCAAAAAGCAAGAAACTTACATTCAGGTTGCACAGTGAATCAGCTTTAGGCAATCTTACAAATGCACTTCACAATATTAACTGGGATTCTGAATTCAATAATACTCAGGATATAAATTCATTAGCTAACCTCTTCCTCTCCAAAACTCTAAGCCTCTACAACCTTCATTGTCCCCTCCTTACCAAGCAAGTAACTGACAAAAGATTAAACAATCCATGGCTCACAAGTGGCATTCTCAACTCAATAAACAAGAAACATGAATATGAAAAGAAACTTAGGATTGGCCTAGTTTCAAAGGAAGTAGTTAAAAGGTACTCATCAATGCTTACCAGTATCATAAGAAAGGCAAAACTTTCATATTTTGTGAATAGACTCAATGAAGCAAAAGGCAACATGAAAAGCACGTGGAAAACCATCTCTAGTATCCTAGGAACTAAACAACACTCACATAACCAAATAAAACTCTATAAGGATGGGTATACACCGTCAACTGATTTTGAAATGGCAAACGAATTTAATAGCTTCTTTCCATCGGTTGGTGCTAATCTTGCCAGAAAAATCCCACAGACTCAGACACATATCAACACATATCTCTCAGGCAGCTATCCAAACTCTCTTCTCCTTTCACCAGTCAGCCCGGCAGATGTTGTGTCCATCATACACTCACTAAAAACCAAGGCAGGGAACACCAGTGAAATTCCGTCCATTGTATACAAGAGCGCCTCCCATGCCCTTTCGCCACCCATAGCCCTACTGTTCAACAAATCTATAGTGTCACACCTTCCCTGATATCCTTAAAAAAGCAAGAGTAACGCCAGTCCATAAAGAAGGCAATCCGGCGGACATAAACAATTATAGACCAATATCAAATCTACTCATTCTATCAAAAAATTTTGAAAAAATTATCTACAAACAGCTCTATTCCTACCTCGTAAAATTCGACATACTCAGTCCCTGCCAGTTTGGCTTCCGGTCCCAAAAGAGCACCAATGATGCAATCATTAGTCTCCTTGACGTAATCTACTCAGCCCTTGACAAAAATGAGTTTCCGATTGGACTCTTCATTGACCTAAGAAAAGCCTTTGGTACTGTTAATTACAACTACCTCTTGCTTAAACTCCAGCATTATGGAATCCAAGGCCTTGCCCTGGACTATATCCGATCCTATCGTAGTGACAGACACCAATGTGTAACCATCAATGATACAACCTCTTCCACTCTACCAATAACCGTTGGAGTGCCACAGGGCAGCATCTTAGGACCTCTTCTATTTCATATATATCAATGATCTGCCTAATGTCTCTAATATTCTTAAACCTATATTGTTTGCTGATGATACTACCTCTCATCTATTCAGACCCCAACCACATACACTAAATAATGGTGTGAATAACGAATTAAAAAAGTCCACTTATGGATGTCAACTAACAATAAACATAGAAAAGACCTACTACATATTTGGAAGCAAATCATCGAATGCAATTCAGCTACAGATAGACAACATTAACATCAGTAATAAAAATGACGGAAAGTTTCTTGGCCTATTCCTAGACAAGAGACTCAACTTCAGCACCCACATTCAACACATAACTAAGAAAGTCTCTAAAACAGTTGGTATACTCTCCAAAATAAGATATTATGTTCCTAACTCTGCTCTCCTCTCACTATATTATGCACTAACCTATCCCTATATTAATTATGGTATCTGTGCATGGGGGTCTACCACTGCAAACCACCTTAAGCCCATCATCACCCAGCAAAAATCTGCTATCAGAATAATAACAAACTCTGCTCTCAGACAACACTCAGCTCCCTTGTTTAAATCCCTTAACTTGCTAAATATTAACTCCCTCCACACATTCGCTTGTGTCAACTACATTTACAAAACCCTGTTCTTAAATGCAAACCATGCTCTGAAACTCTCCCTGGCAGATAGGACCCATTATCACCACACCAGAAATAAATATCTCTTTGATATCCCCAGGGTCAAACTTAATCTGTGTAAACACTCTATGCAAATTAAGGGACCTAGTCTATGGAACTCACTCCCTAGTGAATTGAAAAGCTGTCAAACTTTTGCCTCATTTAAAAACAAAAACAAAAAGTACCTAATTTCATCTTCGCAGTTTCCTACACTGAGCTTTAAATTTGCTCTGTATCTAGTGTTACCCAATCTCCCAATCTTTATGTACTTAATCCAAACAACTCTATCATTGTGTTCATTGCTGTCTTCTTTTATGTGCTAGTCATATGCTGTATTGTACCTACTTCACCAGTCTCCGTGGTGTAGTGTTAAGACACTCGCTTGGCGTTCCGCGAGCGCTTTGTCATGGGTTCGTATGCTGCTGGCCGGGGAGGATTTACTGGACGCAAATCCTTAACTGTAGCCTCTGTTTAACTCAACAGTAAAATGAGTACTTAGTTGTAAAAACGATTCTTCGCGGCGGGGATCGTATTCGGGACCTGCCCAAAACTCTACGCGTACTAGTGGCTGTACAAGAATGTAACAACTTTATATATCTCAAAACAAAACAAAGCTAATTTTTGTTAAACTACCATTCAAGCTGTCATTGCAATCACTCTGAGCTACCTATGTGCTTTAATATACCTACAAATTTCTCTCATTTTTTTCTTGCTAATGTACCTGTTATCATTTTTATAAATTTTGCTAGTATTTACCTACTTAAAATTTTCTTAGATTAAGGACCTGCCCGAAACGCTGCGCGTACTAGTGGCTTTACAAGCATGTAATTACTATGCTATGTATCCTCTCAATCCCAATGTACCTTCTTGTATATATATATAAATAAATCAATAAATAAATAAATCTAGAGATCGTCGGACTCCGGCGATCGTCCCCCAACCTTGCCATGACTCTTCCTATCATGTTGGTATCCTATCACGTTTCCTTTTTATAAAAATGATGAAAAAACATAATTTTTCCTGTAAATGATGTTTTCGTCATCAACGTCATCTTCCCTACCGTGAGATGACGTTGAAATGACTAGACTTATTTTCCGATGAGTTAGTCCATTTTATCATTTTTCAATCATTTAAGATTTTTTAAGAGTTAATTCTTTATCAGGTAATAAAAACAATATTAACACAGAATTATTTATATACAAATAATAATACAGTTGGAGTACATACACTTGATCTCTGTATTGCTCGCACTGATGCTAGGACACAAGTTTGTTTAATTTAATGAAATGTTTATTGACTATATTTGGATAGATTTGTAAATAAATTTATGACTCGAACAAACGTGAGTTTGTTTGGATATATCTTGGCAATACCGAACTGACACTTTATTTGGACATTTTGATAAGATAATTATAGATGGTATCAGAGTATTATTTATGTTTCGACACAGTATCATAGTGAAATTTGCTGTTAGATAACATGTTTGAAGGCATTGGGCTCCTTCAGAACACGTCTAATTGGGTTAAGATTGATTTGGTTGAATTAGGATATGATTTCCTTTGCTATAAAACTTTGGTTATATTTAAATATGTTGGATGCTAGGATATGCTCGCTGTAATAGGATGTAATTTGTTACTTGGACACGTTTGAATGTGTTTGGATGC